CTTATTATTTTTTATTAATATTAATAGTCATAGTAATAAAGGCAATAATGACTGTATTATTTTCATTTCATTTGATAATTTCATATGAAAACTACATACAATAAGAAATCTGTTTTTCTATATGTCTATATATATATATATATATATATATATATATATATATATATATATATATATATATATATATATATATATATATATATATATATATACAGTTGAAGTCAGAATTATTTGCCCCCCTTTGATTTTTGATTTTTTTTCCTTTTAAAAGATTTCCCAAATGATATTTAATAGATTCAGGAATTTTTCACAGTATGTCTGATAATATTTTTTCTTCTGGAGAAAGTCTTATTTGTTTCATTTCAGCTAGAATAAAAGCAGTTTTTATTTTTTTTAAACACCATTTTATTCCTATGGAACAAAATCAATCCCAAAAGTACTGAAATAAAAGCTTATCGAATAGGACAAACAAAAAAATAATACGCTGAATTAACAACTGCTTGCATTTGAATGACTTGGATTGCCTGGGTTTGTGATTTTAGGTCCTGAAATTTAACACAGATGTTTATTTAAGCTGTGAATATCTCAACTAAAAATATTTCAAACACGTTTTCATCCTTAAAAGTTCAATAATTCTTATTTAATTTTCAGATTTCACTCACAAAATATTCAATACCGGTGAAAAATTTGAAGCGTGATGTGCAGAAGATCATTTTTAGTGCATTTTATTTCAGTTCAAAAACTTGCTTCCAAAAATTCAGTGGATCAAATTCGGCTCTTAAAATTTGACATGGTCGCTGGTTTGAGCCTCGGCTCAGTTGGCGTTTCTGTGTGGAGTTTGCATTATCTCTCTGTGTTTGCGTGGGTTTCCTCCGGGTGCTCCGATTTCCCCCACAGTCCAAAGACATGCGGTACAGGTGAATTGGGTAGGCTAAATTGTCCGTAGTGTATGAGTGTGTGTGTGTGTGTGAGTGTGTGTGTGAATGAGTGTTTCCCAGAGATGGGCTGCAGCTGGAAGGGCATCCACTGCGTAAAAACTTGCTGGATAAGTTGGCGGTTAGTTCCGCTATGGAGACCCCGGATTAATAAAGGGGCTAAGCCGACAAGAAAATGAATGAA